TTAATCAATATTAAACCCCTACAATAATAATCAGCTTTTTTGACTGCCAGAAATTTGCAATACTACTTTTAATTGTGCCAACAGAATGCTTTCAGGAATCTTTTTTCTTTCTTCTTTCTTCTTTTGTGTGTGTTTTTTAATCTGTGCCCATCAGATTTCCCAAAACATTGGCTAGCCAAAAGCTTTAGATTCCCTTATTAAAACCCTATCAAAGGAATGCGAAAAAAATAGGTGAAAAGGGTACCCCTTTAGACTCCCACCCCCTGCAATTATAAACAAACCTACAATAATCAACCCCACTCCAGCCCTGCTTGCTTATCCTTGCCTTGTGCTTTACCTTTTACTTTTAAGTTATCCTATCTTCTTCTTCTTCTTCTTCATTCTTGTTATTCGTTTTCTTCTTCTGCTATCTTCTTCTTCTTGTTTCTACTACTACTACTGCTACTACTACCACTACTACGACTACGACTACTTCTACGACTACGACTACCACTACTACTACTACTACTGCTACTACTATCCCCTTCTGCCAAATCCCCTCTGGATGTTTTTTTTACGGCTCAGGATTTTGACTACCCCGAAAAATTACCATATTTTTTCAAGGGGGGTCTACTAATGAGAGGTTAACATTAGTAGCTTCTTGTTCTTACTGAATTCAGGTTTTGTGGCAAGAAAAGAACCTGAACCCTCATAGACTCATAGATGTGAATGAAGCAACTAACAAAGCAGGAGTAAAAGGGGCCCACGCGAACAAGGGAGAGCCGCAGAGCCGAGAAGCCGCAGACAAGCCGAGAAGCCGAGAGGAGAATCCCGAAAAGGAGAGACTTCAAACGAAAGAAGAGATTTCAATCGAAAGGAAAGACTGCAAACGAAAGGAGAGAAGGCCAAAGTCCGGTCTGCTTGGACACGCTACTCCGGGCCTGAGCTGCCAGCAGATGTTTGGAATGGGGCCGTGCAGTGGAATGACTTAAAGCGGACGATGCATGGACCATAATACCTGGTGGATGCCTCGCAAGTGTGCGCAGAAGCAGTCTTAGACAGCTCAGAATCACGCTTGGAAGACGTGCACCTCCTGCAGGGGAACGCCCAGAACGTCAGGAAGAACTGGAGCAGAAAATGTTACGGGAGCTCGGAATGGGGAACGGTTCTCCATCCGAAGCATGGAGGCCGAGTGTAGAGTTGGTTCCCCGGTTCCAGGTACAGCCGAAGGGTGATAAAAAGAGCTATGAAAAAGACAGAATTATACGACTGGAACATACAAACACACCATTGCAACATGGCCTCTTTTGGGCAATATGTGCAACATGGCCCTTTTGGCAGCGCAACACCCAGTTGATCACGTGCAAGGTGGACACTTGGCCAGGAGGGGCTCTAGCAAAATCCACTCTCCAACAGCCGCAAATGCCTCCACCATCACCAATACAGAAGCCAACCGAGGCCCAGAACCAATCTAATGTGGCGCCAGCGCTCACCAAGCCCATTCCTCCAGGCTTGCCAGCTGCTTTCCAGTTTGGAGCCATGAAAGGTGGATCCAAGGGCATGAAGAGTTGATTGGTGCAGGGCGGAAAGTCAGGGTGTGTTGGTTCCTGGTGGCCTACACCAGCAAGCAAGAGAGTGAACGCGGCCAGATCCTGGCCCAGTGGTCATTGCGCCCACCGCAGCCATACCAGACAGCAAGAGCCAGGACCATGGACATTCTGCAGGCTTACCAAGCCAATGACTGCAACAGAGTGTCCCAATTGGTGGCAATGCAACCTGCCAGCTTTATTCCCACATGTGTTGATTGCGTCGCATATGTTTTTCACACGCATCAGCAAACGCTCTAATTTCAATTATCCCATTGCTTGCACAATGGCAGGTACTCCAGAGAGCCACACATGGCTGCCATGATGGCAGAGGAGCAGGAGAACACGCAGATCCATGGTGACTGCCAAATGGCCAACCACTGCGTCGCCATGGCACCAAGTCACAATGCTGAACGGTTGTGAAAATTGTGGTGCCCACTGCATTCGCTGACCGTATGGTTCATCACTTTCTTTGATTCTTGTAAGACATTGCGTTCCATTTTGTTTTGTGTTCAATTCAATCTGCATGGCTCCCCATCTGTCCAAGCACAAAGAGTCTGCTGCTATTGCCATGGCATTGACGTGGTCAATTGCTGACTTCCTCATTCCTCAATGAACTATCCCAGTTGGAAAGTCTGGCTAAGCTACCAAACATGGTCAATAGATTGGTTGCTACGTCCTCTTAGTTTGGTGCCAAATTACAAATGGCCAGCGCGTGGACCAGTGAGGGTATAGTCAGTGTTTTTGCGAAGCTGGAAGCCATCTCTTTGCCAGTTACTGTCAAGAAGGAAACCCAAGATGCTTTGACCCAGATTGCGCAGGACAACACCAATCAGAAGTGCCACTGGTTGAAAGCCTGAGCCCCTACCTCACACAGGTGATTTGGACACATTGGCACATTGGGCGTGCCCATTCTCAAAGAAGACGCAAAGAAGCAGGCCATAGGCAGCCTCCTCCATGTTTTTGCGTTTTGCCAAAGGATATCCAAGACTTTGCCAAAGCTACCACTCTATCTGAGCTGTTCCTTGTAACTCATCTAACACTCAGCACCTGCTTGAACAAGACCACGCGCCAGGAACCCAAGGACAAGGAATTCTTTGGCAAACTGGACCAGCTTTTGAGTAGGTTTGCTGTAGGAGGTGCCCAAGAGCAAACCATCACACCACAGCTTGAGCAGCCAAAACAAAACTTTCCCCTCCTGTAACCAATGGCGCTTTGCCTTTGCAAGAGCCAGCAGCTAACCAGCAGAATGACACCAAGCCTGCTGTTGAGCAAGCCAAGGGTAGATTACACAGGTTGAACTTTGTTGCGTCAATTTTGTTCAATGTGTCAAAGTATGGTTCCAAATTGGCTTGGTCCAAATACCCAAGACAACTTGGCCAATGACTTGACATCCTTTGAAGAGGATGCTTACAACCATTGGGCAGAGAAGAGGGTCCAAGCCAAGACAAAAGCAAAGGCTGGCGCCAAGGTTATGAAAAACATGCGCCAAGGTTACCAGCAAGAAGTCAAGCGCCAAGGCTGCACCACCACCAGGCCAACCCAGGCATTGCTGCTATACCGCCCACCAATGGTCCATTTGGGTGTGTGAGATGTAGGGCAGCGACAAAAGGTTGCGCCAAATGCCAGCAGCCAACCTTTGCAAAAGATGGCCATAAGAAGTGAAGTGCAAAATGCGTTTCCACTGTTGCCAAGGTCTTTTGGGGGTGAGGCAAAACCATTACCATTTGCCAATGGGGTTCTCATGGAACCCATACTTGCTGGCCAGCAAAAGATTGCGTGCTGCTTGAGCTGTTTCAATATAGCGTACTGCTTGCGTATTTGGTTTAGTGCTCCAGCCACACAGGCACAAACCTCTTGAGGGTACGCACATAGATGGCCCAAAGCGGCGACCTACAATATGTGGAACCAGCCACAGTGGCATGTCGACCCATATGCCAACCACTTGTTTGGCGTGCCAATTACTTCTTACGTGCAACCTTGTCTTCCTGTCCTCCTTGGCCATGCTCTTACCCTACCACATTTACGCAAAAGATGTGCATTGAAACGCATTTTGCGTGTCAACCCATCGCAACTGTACGGTATTCTTCGTGCCAGAAAATGGGCATTAATTCCACGTGTGAAGAGTATTTTAACATGCAGTCCATGTGCGTGTTATATTTGCTGGCAACCACACCATCTTTGCTTTCAGCCAAATCAACTGTTCAAGCTCTGTCCAGCGCCACTTGCTCCAAGCCCACCAAAGAGAATGGGCCTGACTTTGGGCCATGAAGAAGACCGATGGCCTTTCACAGGCCAGGTCCGCCAGTGGCATTGAACCTCAGCCAGCCAGTGAGCCAGTGGTGGACGCAACAGTGCTCCACCCTACAGTGCACCAGCTGGACATGGTTGCGGAAGACCAGATATCCAGCGTGGCAAGTTTGCCACCACTTGCTATTAGCAATTTTTGGGCAATTGTGTTTTTGTTCACACACATTTTTTTGAAATTGTTTGATCGGTCAATTGTAGCAACAGAAAATTCGCATATTTTTAAAACAATTTTAATGCTTTTGTTGCTGTTTGAAGACTTTTTGGCTCAACATTTTTACTATTTTGCTTGCTCGTTCGGCCCCCTTTCCCCCTGCACTGTTCATGTATCACGAAAGGTAGCCTCAGCAACCTGAGTCCTCTTTGCTTTAGCAATATGATATTGGGGGTGGTGAACTCTTCCTGCGCTTGATTTCAAGTTGGGTTTTAGTTTTTTTGCACCCCCCCATGTGACTCCACCCTGCACCGCCCAGAATTTGGGAGTGATCTGGCTTATCGACTGTGGTCTATTGCAATCAATCTGTGGTCTATTGCTGGCTGCTGCTGCTTGTTGCTGCTGGTTGCTGCTTGCTGTACTGCTTGCTGCTTGCTGTGCTGCTTGTTCCTTGCTGTACTGCTTGCTGCTGTGCTGCGTGTTGCTTGTTGCTTGCTGCTGTCGCTGGTGCTGGTTCGTGGTTGTTGTTGCTGCTGGTTGCTGCTATTGCCGCTGTTCGTTGCCGCTGGTTGCCGCTGCTGCTGCTGCTGCTGCTGTTGTTGTTGTTGCTAATTACTGCTGCTGCTGCTGCTGCTGATTGCTGCTACTGCTGCTGGTTGCTGCTACTGCTGGCTGCTGCTGCTCCGCTACTGCTGCTTTCTGCTTTGCTGTGCTGCAGCTGCTGCTTTGCTGTTGCTGCCACTGCTGCCACTGCTGCCGCTGCCGCCCCCGCTGCCACCGCTGCTGCTGCTGCTGCTTTGCTGGTTTGCTGCTGCTGCTGGCTGCTTGCTCCTGCTCAGAATCTTCCAACCTCTACCTTTCGTCCACCTCCGTGGCCTCAGGTCTTTCAAATTTGAAATGCTTGATGGATGTTTTTTTTTAACGTTGCGCAGGACACAGAAGCACCTGCTGTTGGTTTTTTGTGAGACCTTGAGGCTGGAACTCCCACCGTGATCCCCAACGCCGAAGGAGCTCGAACTACACCCAGCGTAGTGGCTTACTCCAAGAGCGGTGAGCTTTTGGTTGGACAGATTGCAAAGCGTCAGGAGGGGGCTTTGTTGTGTTTGGTTGTGGTGAGTTTGACTGTGGCTCAGGTGATTTTTGATCACACAGTGACACCAGCAATAGGTGTGTGCATGTTGTGACTTAGCGATTTGCAGGCTGTGGTGAACCCTGAGAACACCTTTTACTCAGTGAAGCGCTTTGTTGGCCGCCAGCCCGATGAAGTCAAGGAGGAACTGAAGGAGGTGTCCTACAAGGTGGATTTCGAAGGGCAAAAAGTGAAGATCGACTGCCCTGTGATGAGCAAAAAATTTGCACCAGAGGAGGTCTCTGCACAGGTGCTTCGAAAGCTGAGTGCTGATGCTGGAAAGTACTTGAGCGCCAATGTCCAGAAGGTGGCTGGGCTTCACATCAATCCGGAAAACAATGGAAATCATGGGTCCAGGATCCAAAATTTTCACACCACATCAACATAACACCATTTTAAGACTAGATTGTCCGACGTCTACATCGCTCTTGAGCCTCTTTCGATAATCGAACCCGGGGCCGGCGACCCATGTTGCATGATTTTGTCAAGTGCTCAAATATTTAGTTGTGATGACACCCTGTTCATTATCGGATGTCATCAGTTGTGAATTGTTTCATGCAAGCGAGCCCGTCGTGTTTGACGGGCCTGACGGGCCTTGCACCTGCAGCTGGCGAAGAAGACCTCACCTTTAGGTCGGAATTCCGGCCCTGTAGGCGGTTGTCACCGTCCCTGCGTACTTCAACGACTCACAGCGTCAGGCAGGTTGGGACATGGTCACCCTTCTTTTGGTTGGTCATGTGTTGCACGTTGGCCCCGCGCAGGCCACGAAAGATGCGGGGAAGATTGCCGGATTGGACGTGCTGCGTATTGTGAACGAGCCCACAGCAGCATCGCT